AATGTAAATATAATGGAAATTCAAATATTCTTAAAAACTCTAGAGTGTAAAAATAATTTAATAAACACAAACATCTAGGTTTTGCATGTCTTCAATTTTTTTAGCTAGCGTTTTGTTTTCATTTTTTCTCGGTTTTAACAATTTCTTAATTTTATTTCAAAAAACTATTATAACAAGTTAAAACCCGGTTGCATGGGTGTATTGATGGGTTTTTAAAACTGAGCATGTCTATGCGATACTTTTTAACTATAGAGACTAATTAGGTTATGGATTGATATTATTTTTTGATACATTGAAAATTAAAGGATTAGGTGATGGATTCACTTTTCCATTTGTGCCATGTATCAAAGTAAATAACATTGTTGGTGGCTCCTTGTAGGATCACTTTTCCACGTCCACATGCAACATAATGAAAATTTAGCATTACTTATTGTTGAGGTAGAAAAGATTCTTCATACCAAAATAATGCACCATAGATTGGACATTCACATTTTGGGCCAACAATATCCCAATAATATGGGTATTGAAACATGCCAGAAATCAATAGCATGTTAATATAGTCGCTGATACAATAGTTTACCAATTTTAAATAATAAAATTTACCTACCATTAAGGCATGCTATCTATATCGACTGCAAGGTTTTCGTAATCATCATATCATTCACATCACTATCTTCATTATCACAACCTACTACGTGTTTGTGTGTGCCTTATAAATTAAAGCCGCAAAATTCACGGTTCTTACTGGTGATTGCGGTTTTGAAGTACCGCGATAGTGATGTGTATTGGCACGAACACCTGCGCAGAATCAAACACATGAAATGTCAAAGATAGTTCATTTAAGATCTTGGTGGATTAGGATGTTTTTACTTGGACTGTAATTTGTTCCCGACCAGACCAGACCAGACCAGACCAGTCCAGACCAGACCAGACCAGACCAGACCTGTTCAGACCAGATCAGACCAGACCAGACTTGGATAGTTATAAAAATACAAAGAAACCAGACCTTACCAGACCAGACCAGACCAGTTCAGACCAGACCAGACCAGATCAGACCAGACCAGACCAGACCAGCAAATTACAGTCCAAGTAAAAACATCCTTACTGTACATGTGTAATACTGCCTTTAAAATTCCACGATCCAAACGCAGCACTTTTGAATGAGTGTTACAAAAGTGGGCACCTTTGTGATTGTTGTTGTGGAGTACATTTTGTCAATTTTTAAGAGCATACCGTGTGGCATATAATCTTGTCATGTCATCATATATAATAATAATAATAATTAATTACTTTCTATGCTTTTTATTTTTTATTACATTCTATTTTTTATTGCATATCGATATGGAAACAAAATATTGTACGAAAACCACCTTATTTGTACTACATAACTTTTTGAGAACCTCTATTTACTCCATATTAATTTGTATGACACGTATTCAGCCATCCCCTTTTTATTTGTAATAAAAAATAAAAAGCATAAAATGTAATTTTTATTTTTCTAAACTCAATCTCTTTTTTTGTATGTTTTCTAAACTCAATGCGATAATGACTAAAATTATAAGCCTTAGATAGATTTGCAATTATGTTAATACTTTCTTAGTTGTTGGACATAATTACCACAAGATTTTTTAACTTAAAAATGAAATTGATATATACTATTAGAAGTTCATATATGAAAACATGTAAAACTTCTGATCAAGTATCTATAGTATGGAAATTCATATCATACATATAAATATATATTTTTTCACAAGTAAACGTGTTGTTTAGCCCAACCAAAAAAAAGTAAATATGTTTACTTGTTTTTTTATTTTTACAACTTCAATTTAAATATTCCTTCACTTTTGTAATAGATTCCTAACCCAAATTAGGAAATCTTCATACATTTAGAATGTTTTTAATTCAACTGATTTCAGTCTCAAACAAGATCAGATCAAACATCAATCATAATAATAAAAATAATAATAATTAGTATTATTATACATACATATAATAGACATCTTCCACACCGTATTACTTCAGACCAAATTTGAACTGAAAATATCAATATAATTTAATACTACATATATCTTATTAATGACGTTTTCAATGTGACGAAATAAAATAGTAAATTGTAAAAATGTTCCATTTCTTACATTCTCAATGTAACGAAATAATGAGTAAAATGTATGATCTCACTAATAAATTTATAAATACTTATTTCATACCATGTTGAATGAGAAATATTTAAAAAAAATAGTATTTTGAGATGCTTAGTGAAGTAATATAATGTGAAATTAATTAAGAAAGTTTTGAGTGAATTCTTTAAAATCAGGTTCATAACTATTATGTTTAGTTGAGATGCTTATGTACAAGTCCATTTTAAATATTTTTCATATATATTTTAATTTTTTTTTATTAATTATATACGTAATACGTAGTATATTTTATTTTACTTTTTCATAATTTGGGAGATTCCGTCAATTTAGCTCAATCAGTTAGATTTAGAAGCTGTTCCGTTCACCTGATCTGAATGTTTCTGATCTGAATTTTTTAAGTTCTGATCTGATCTGATCTGAATTTTTCTGATCTGATCTGATCTGATCTGAATTTTTCTGATCTGATCTGATCTGATCTGAATCTTTCTGATCTGATCTGAATCTTTCTGATCTGATCTGAACGTTGCTGAACTGATCTGAATGTTGCTGATCTGATCTGATCTGATCTGAATGTTTCTGATCTGATCTGAATGTTTCTGATCTGATCTGAATTCTTCTGATCTGAATCTTTCTGATCTGATTTGAATATTTCTATAATTGTAATTATAATTATAATTATAATTATTAGATTTATAATTGTAATTAAAAATATAACTTAAATAAAATCACAATAATAATCATAATTATAAAAAAATAATAATTAAAATTAAATTTAAAATTATAATAATTATACCAATTACACTAATTATAAATACAGATACAATTATAAATGTAATTATATTTTTAATTATGATTAATTTATAATTATTTTTTTTGTAATTATAATTATAATATTTATCTCTATAATCATAATTATATCTATAAATACTAATTTAAATATATAATTACTCCGAAGTAATATAATATAATATTATATTATATTATATTATATTATATTATATTATATTATATTATATTATATTATATTATATTATATTATATTATATTATATTATATTATATTATATTATATTATATTATATTATATTATATTATATTATATTATATTATATTATATTATATTATATTATATTATATTATATTATATTATATTATATTATATTATATTATATTATATTATATTATATTATATTATATTATATTATATTATATTATATTATATTATATTATATTATATTATATTATATTATTATAATATAATAATAATTTTATATTATTAACATTATTATTATATTATTAATAATAATATTATTATATTAATATATTAATATTATTAACAATAACTATAATATAATAATCATAATTAATATAATAATAAAAGTGATAAATCATGTTTGAATTTTTTGATCTGATCTGATCTGATCTGAATGTTTCTGATCTGATCTGAATGTTTCTGATCTGGTCTGATCTGGTCTGAATCTTTCTGATCTGATCTGAATGTTGCTGATCTGATCTGAATCTTTCTGATCTGATCTGAATGTTTCTGATCTGATCTGATCTGATCTGAATTTTTCTGATCTGATCTGATCTGATCTGAATCTTTCTGATCTGATCTGATCTGATCTGATCTGAATAAAATAAGATTAAGGAATAAGTAATAAGATTAAGACGAACGGAACAGCTTCTTAATTCATTACAGTAAGTCAGACAATTCAACTCATTTTAGTATTATCAAACGGCTTTATATTAGACTGAGTTTATTTTGCTTTAACATCACATTAAATTATACTACGTATATGATTTTGAAAATATCAAATTTACAATTAGCTAAATTATGTACTGCTTGTGCATCGCACGGGCTTGAAAGCTAGTTATAATTACTTCTCTCACCTCTGAATAGATTTCAATTACACAATCTTTTTTATTTAATATTTTTATTTGAAAAATGTATCCTTTTACTTTAAATCAATTCTGTTTATAGCCTAAGCATATCAAACTTACTCTTTTGATCATATATGATACTTTAGTTGATTGGTCCTCATATGTATTCGGATCTCTATTCTAAAAATCGTTCTAGGCGGCCGACTAGTCCACGGCGCCCCGATTTTTGTCTAGACGCTCCGACTAATTGATTTGCCGTTTAGGTGAATTAGTCAGCCGCCTAGGGCGCCTAGATTCGCCGAACATTACTTCACTTTTTAATTTTAATTTTCTAAGCGATATACGTACTTTAACTTTAGCTATTCATGGACCCGGGCCGGGCCGGTTCCGGGCCGGGCCGGTTCCGGGCCGGGCCCGGACGGGCTTTTTTTTTGGGAAGGAAGACCCGGGACCGGCCCGGGTAGCCACCGGGTCCGGTCCGAGTCCGGGCCGGGCCGGGCCTCCGGTTTGGTCATATTTTTTTTTTTGCTTTCCTAACCCCCGCCCTCACCCCCCACCCCTCCCCCCCCAAACCCCCCAAACCCCTCCTAACCATCAAACCCAACCCGGGTAACCCCAAAAATGAAAAAAAAATGAAAAAAAATCAATTCGGCCCGGACCCGGGCCCGACCCGGCCCGGCCGGTTCGCCAAATACAAGGCCCGGGCCCGAGCCCGGACCCCCCCCCCCCACCGGGCCTAGGCCCGACCTAGACCCGGACCCGAGAACCAGGCCAGTTCCGGGCCCGCACAGTAGCAGGCCGGGCCAGTCCCGGGCCGGGCGGCCCAAACCGGGTCCATGACTAACTTTAGCCATGGATATAAAGAAATGAAGGTGTAAATTAAGATAAAACTATATATGTTTGTATATATACCTAAATTTTATCGTTATTTATATTGATAACATAATGAAGTTAAGCAATTAGTTATCATATACTACGTATGATTAAATGTGATAATTCTATCATTCATATTTTGTTAATGTATATGTATATATGTATTTTATACACACAAAAATACAATATTATTTATCATATTTATGCAAAAATATAGATAAAAATGCAATTCCTATGTCTCCTACTAGTCTCCGACTAAGCGCCCGCCTAGCCGCCTAAGCGCTAGGCTCTGGGTTGGCGCCCGACTAGCGCCTTTTAGAACATTGATTCGGATTAAGTATAGATGATTACTATTTTTATAACTCTTTGGAGCAAAAGACTGAACCCAAACTGCAAAAAAAAACATTTTTGGCAAACACCAACAGAACCATAACAATTAACGTGTCAGCAGCATCATACACCCCCCATGCGCCCAAAGCTGTGGATTCCACCCTGAATGGGACAGGAGCAGGTACAGTTCTCAAAATACGTCAGCACCTTGTCCTTGAGAGATTTGGCGCTTGAACACATGTGTCGCACGAGGGGATGCTCCGGACAGATCTCCATGGTGGGTTTCATTCTCTTATTTGCACTCCATCCATGCTCTGGAGTGACTAAACAGCAGGGAGAGTCCATAAAACGGTCAGCTACAACAACCTTTTCAACCTCGTCACCAAGAAAATCCTTAATCACCCTGCACAAATTCTCAAACTGCGCCTTGAGCTCTTCATTCTTCCTCTGCTTCTTCCATTCAAACTCATTCAAGTGATCATCACTGGAGCACTCATCAATCTCATCATCATTACCCCAGTGCCGCAAAGGCTCCCATCTACGATGGGATAAGGGGGGGTCGGATGTACGCAGTCTTACCCCTGTACTAAAGCATAGAGAGACTGTTTCCGAATGACCTGTAGTGAACTCATCAATCTCATCAAGTGAAAAAAACTCCTTCCCTTCAAACTGCTTCAATAGACCAACAACAAAGTACTGATCAAACATAGACATGAAGAGGAACTCAACTCCCAACTGCTTTAACACTTTAACCCGACCGTCCTCCTCAACCTTCTTCCTCATATCCCGTGTGCTGTAGTAGATGTAGTGTTGTCCTTCCTCCATCCTGCTCACATAGTCCTTCAAGCTGGTCAACTCATCCCCGCTTTTTGTGGAGGGGTAACGAAGAAGCTCTGCAAGCTTAGTCCTGTTCTGCGAATCCTCATGCATCCCAAGCTTGAGGTTCTTTGAGAAAGCCTCATAGAATATGGTGTAGTATTCCTTATCTTTTGCAATCTCAGAGAACAGCTCTAGACACTTGTTTACCAGGTTCTTGCGAATGACCATCCAATCTATAATCCTGTTTTCCTTCAAAGTCTCACCACAGATGTTCAAAGGAAGGTCCTCACAGTCGACTACTCCCTCGACAAAACTCAAGTACTGCGGGATCAGCTCCTCACAACTTTCCATGATGAGGACACGACGGACATAGAGCTTGATGTTGTTTACCTTCTTTGCATCGAAGGAGTCAGAAGGAGCCCTCTTTGGAACAAAGAGGAGAGCCTTGAATTTCAACAGGCCGGAATTCCTACCGCTGTTTTTCTCAACCGCCACCCCGAAGTGTTTGACTGCCAAATACTCCTCCCTGTTGTTTGTGAGACTACTCTTGTAGAATGCAGCATATTCTTCTTCTGTAATCTCCTCTGGTTTCCTCATCCAGAACGCCCTTTGTTGTTCGAACATCTCATACATATGCTCTTCCCCAAAAGTCTTGTGATATTTTAGGAAGATGCGGTGGCTAATGAACTTAGGGTGCTTGTAGATTAAATCCTTCAGTCGGCGCTCTTCCAGGTACTCAAGCTCCTTCTCCTTGAGGTAGAGGGTAATTGTAGTACCCGTGGCAAGGGGCTCCCTCGAACCTCTGGTGAGGGTGAATGAGTCGCCCGCTTGGGATTCCCAGACATACTGCTCATCACTTTTATGCTTTGTTCTTACAATGAGCTTCTTAGCCACAAGAAAAGCACAGTAGATTCCAACACCAAACTGTCTACTCATATTACCATCAATAATACCAGCTGCAAGATAAGCTTCCATAAACTCCTTTGTGACAGACTGTCTACTCATATTACCATCAATAATACCAGCTGCAAGATAAGCTTCCATAAACTCCTTTGTGACAGACCTAGCCATTGTCCCCATGTTGACCAACTCTGCAAACGCAAAGCAGATGCATATATGAGTACAGGTTTGAGAGGTAGCTAGAGAATAACATAGTAGTAATTATTAGTGCTATCACTTACCCGCCTTTGTCATACCAATACCGTTATCACTGATAGTCAACGAGTTATTGGTCTTGTCAGGGGTGATATCGATGCAAAGCATTGATGCATTGGTGTGCTCAAACTTGTCAGATAAGTTTTCACATAGCATACTGTCAAGATCCTGGTAACAACGGTATGCACAGAATAAACAGTTAGGCCAGACAAAAATTAATTTGATTAAGCAACAGCTGCACATGAGGCCACATTTATACTCACTGAGATATAGCGAGAAGCCAGCTCATATATTGAAATTGCTAGAGGTATGTCAATGGAAATGGTTTAATCAAATTATGTAGACACATAGGTAGTTACGCATATCGATCTAACCATAACTACCTAAGCAAGCAGGAGTTCAAGCTCTCAATATTAAGAAGGACGCCAATGACTGACGGAGCATTGGACAAAATCTGGATTTGTATAAGTAGATTATAAAACTTTACACCAGCATAGTACGGAGTAATTAATAAGATAATTAATATTGTGTACCCCATTTCATAACACACAACATTTTTAACATCCATACATGACCGAAAATATGAAGCAAATTATCTAACAATCATTCGCATCATCAATCTAGGCAAGTCCTTATAGTTAACAGTCCGGACAGACTACAGACAAAACACACATGGCTCAATAACTCGTGATTACACAATAACTAGACAACTAAAAGGAAGATCTCAATTTTATAGTTAACTATACTTCTCAATTTTTAAAGGAAACGGTATATTTACCCGGTAGCTTCTGCCGATAAGTTCAAAGAGGAAGACCTCTTTATCCTTGTGGCTGAAGAAGCTGGAAGCGTTGCTGATCTGACTAACAAGGTGCTGGACATATGGATGAAATTGATACGTCTCCACCTCCTCCTCCATTGCTTGAAGGGAGAAAAGCGGCAATGTCGTGCGTATGTTAGGACCAGAGAAGAGAAGGATCTAGAGATCCTTTATAAAACAATAAAAAGCGGCATTGTCGTATATGGTAAAAAAAAACTTTGGTAAAAAAAACTTAGGATGTTTTTATTTGGACGGTAATTTGTCCCAGACCAGATCAGACCAGACTAGACTTGGATAGTTATAAAAATACAAAGAAACTAGACCAGACCAGACCAGATCAGACCAGACCAGACCAGACCAGATCAGACCAAACTAGACCAGCAAATTACAGTCCAAGTAAAAACATCCTTACAGACCCAATAGAAAAATAAAAAATAATTCGGTGGCAATTTTTTAATTTTGATGAAAAATATGGTTTCTCTTGAATGAGCATTAATGCAATTTTGTTAAGTATCAAGATTGCTTTTTTGAGTATTAGGAGCCTAAAAATGAGCATTAGTGTTCTTTGTTTCATATTTCTAATCCGCTTTCTTTTTAATACTTTTTTTCGTTTATAAAAGCTCTTAAATTATGTTTGTAATCAATTCCAATTAATTTCAATATGTTAATCTAATATCTGGTTATATATAAATCGTGTAAGGACGTTAAGTTGGTCTTTTTACCGTTGCTACAGCCCCTGAAGTTAACCTCCGTCTTTTTCCTCCGTTCGATAAACGTGGTCTGCTTCCCTCCGCTCAATCTTTTTCCTCGGTATATGCATCTAAATGTTTCCTCTCCCGATTGGGTTCGCAGGGAAGCGTCACAGCACATCGTCCGCCGAAGGAGCCGCCCTCGATGTCAATCTGCAGGTATCTTCCGCCTCTTTCCATTTGTTAGCTATCTCCATTCTCTCATCGATCTCTTCTCCATCTCCATTTGTTAGCCATCTCCATCTCCGTTTGTTAGCAGTTGTTGTAAAGACATGAAACAACACAAAGTGGAAATCCCAGTCAAGTTTTTACCCAGTTAAGTTTCTTAGGTTGTCTGCGTTTAAGAAGAATTCCAATTTTGTTATTTCAGGTGATAAAGTTCGGAATCCTTCACTGGCTTGTTCTGCTTCCAAGAAGAAATTAGGTTTCATGGATCAAATTCTTGACTGTATTAAAGGTAAATTGATAAAACAATCCCAATATATTTACTCTTCATTTTCCTTCTATGGTTTGGTGTTCACTATTCAGTATATCATTCTTACTAGCATTTGGTCGCACAAGGTGCAACAATTTTTGCCCAATATTATTAAAGTAATGTTGTTCTTGTAAATAATTACTACTTATGTCCCACTAACATTGAGGCATTAGAAGGTAATGTGTTTATTAACAAAAATGGGTTTGTTGTTGATATTAAATTGGTAAAGTAAAAATGATTTAGAACCACACAATTTTATAAAAATTTGATATAAGACAATCTTAGTGAGACGAACCGCAAAAAAATGGGACAATCTTAGCGGAATAGATGGAATATTATACTATCGTATATGATTATATGGTATTGTTATGACATTTTCTTAGACATAGTGTATATAAGTTTCCGATATTTTTTAAAAATTGTCAGATCATATGTATTTCCATACAGTCAATTATTGTTCTGCTTATACTTTATAAAACTACTAGTTTTGTAACGCGCGTTGCGCGATTGAGTGGTGCCCAATGTATTTGCATACCACCAACAAATTTTTTATGCCTAAAATAGACCTACCCTTATTCATGTTTATCATTTTGTAAAGATGTGATTCCATGAAGTGCATATATTTCCCGTTTTATATACTTCGTATGAAATAGGCTATATGAGTATCATCAATGACACCTACATGTTTCTAAAACATTTCTACCATTGTTAGAAAAATATAAAAGGCAAAAAAAAATTGATGAAATATAAAATTTTAATTATACCTCAAAATATGGACACCATTTTGGTTTATTAAACTTTCTTTTAACATGAGCAAGGATTTATATTAATTTTACATTACTTCAAACTTACTACTCCAATCGCATTTAAAAAATCACTATATTAGATCTTTACGTAATATTTAAGGGAGGGAATAATAGGGGTAATGATCGAATAGTGTAGAAAAAGTAGGAAAAAAGGTTAAAAAAAGTATGGTGTGAAATTGTTTAATTTGTTTTATGCATCCTACTAAAAAATTTGCCCCTATTATAGTTTGAAAAAAATTTCATATGTTTTACACACTATTAAATTGTGTAAATAGGAGTTTGAAACAAATCTCGTATGATGAATACTATTGCATCTTGTATGGTGTGAAATTGTTTAATTTGTTTTATGTATGATCTATTTAAATCTAATATGCTCTGATTTAATTTGGCATGTGATTAAAATCAGTCCAATTAAAAAATTCTCTTGTGAAAATACGCAATGCTGGTTGAGTTTGAAATGATTTAGTCCTCCACTTTTGGAATAAACAATTATAAATTATAGGAGTGTCATGATTTGGAACGGTACTATAACTATTTAAGCATTATATATTGTGTTAGGGTATGGTGCAATATTATAATTAAGCATTATATATTGTGTTAGGGTATGGTGCAATATTATAATTAAGGTCGTACGGTTAGATTTCTAAACGAACTATACCATACCATACTAATACAAATCATGTCACTTTTTTTAAATTGTTTAAAACAACAAAATGATTAACATCAAACAAATTAGAAAACTTTATTAAAGCCTTTTTAGTGGCTTTTAAAGACATGGTAATTAACCCTATCATAAGGGTTTAATTTATGCTCTGTTTTGATAAAGTGAACTTAAGTAAACCTATTGTAATAAAGTAAACCTAAGGTTTAATAAAAACTAGGTTAACTAAGTGAACCTAGGTTCATGTGTACTTAAAATAGTGCTTGGAAATAAATAAGGTGAATCTAGGTTGATCTAATAAATGTTGTTTGGATGAAGGTACTCTAGCTCATTTTATGTTAAACGAGAACTTAACCTCCAAAACCCCCCACTTTGGAGGTTCTTCAATTTAGGTCCTGTTTGTTTGGGGGTTAATCTAGGTTATTGCGGGTTCAGTTTTTAGTTAACCTCGTTTGTTTGTGTTTTTGCAACAAGAAACTAAGTTCTAACCTCACATAACTCCCGAGAACCTGGAAACACCTCAAATTGAAGAACCTCCGAAGTGGGAGGTTTTGGAGGTTAAGTTCATGTTCAACATAAAATAAGCTAGAGTACCTTCATCCAAACAACATTTATGACATTAACTGTGACACCGCACCCGAACGTCCTTGAAAATTCGATTTAAAATTCAAAAGTGATGTATTGAATTTCCAATTGCAAAACAATGGGAGAAACGATTAATATTTTACGAAGTACATGATTGAATATTGTATTGTTCAAACCCGCATTCTTTTGTAATTTTCATCGTGTAAATTATTGGGATGAGCCTACACATATTGGAGATCAATAATGTGATTTAGGAAGTTGACTTGTTCTAAATAAATTAGGATGAGTACAAAAAGACATCTTTGACAAAGATAAAACAATAGGACCCATCTTCCCATTTTTGGAAGTATTGGTAGATATTTTGGACCCCAAATTTAATGGGATCAATTGGGAACCACTCCACATGGTATTAGTACCTGCAAAACAAATAAAAATGGGTTAGGAGACTTACCTTGGCCGGCCATTATGGAGAAGAGCTGCACATGACTTGATAAGAATCAAAGTTTGGGGCCACCACTCTTATTTTCGCACAAATTGGTGTGCTGTTTGTCTCCTCTCATTATAGGAGCTATCCTCAACCAAATAACGTGTATGAGGTGTCCTTGGATAGCCTTTGAAGTCTATTATCTCAATTGAGTGGTCTTTGTTCGAGGAGAGAAGGATTATCTTGCAAAAATCGAGCTGGAACGAGCAAAGGTCTGTGAACTCGAGCTGTGAGAGTGCTGAGACTGTTTGGTCGATATCTCGAGTTTTACAAGTCCAATTAAGGCGTGTGAGATACCCACAGAAAGCTCTCAAGACGAGGAATCCGTGAAGGTCTGGTTTGCAGGAATCGGAGTTGTGGAAGGCTTCCAAATCGTCCGAGCAAAACACAACCTCGCAGGAGAGGATTTAATCTTCTAAAGTGAGTTTTAACCCCAAAGCTTTACTTTTCATTCTCCAAATGATATGAACGATTGGTGAGACTATTATACACTAATCCAAGTGTATAATATGTCCCTAAAAAGTTATCTTATTGATGTAAAGGTTAGATACTAACCTAGATGCAAATATTGGAAAACTAGGAATCGAGTTAGCCGGAAAACACCCGTTCTAGGGGCTGTTTTCATATCAACGATTAAGGGTTGAACTAGCACTTTGAGGAGGCTGTTTAACACTCATATTTGAGCAAGGAATCAGTCCCAAATCCACCTTGACCAAAGATTTGACCATTGGACCAAGAAGGGAAAGTTTAAAGCTCAATTGAGGTGAGGATTGACATCTAATTGCTTACAACTTGTAGGTTAAGCATGAGATTACCTAAATGCTTAAATCATGATTTTTCATGGATTATGATGATTATATATTGATGAAATATTGATATAGTTGCCAAAGAATGAAATTTGAAATGATTTGAGAAGGTATGAATAATATGAGATTAAATGAGTATAAAAGAACCATTTTGTGAAAATGGGTATTTTACTCATGTATGAATTATGTGGATACATAAATGAATATTTGTGTATTGAGATTAAATACTTAAGTTGCTGCTACATAATTATAAATATGTAGATAATTACAAATAATGAGGATAATGGTATGATAACAATAATCTTAATAGTATTGAAATACTAGTTAGTGATTATTGGGACTTGTTGATTAAATTGATCCTAGGGATTGGATTGTATGAAAGGTGCTTGAATATAGTTCAAGTGTATATAATAACTTAGTATGGAACTAAGGTTAAGTTATGGGAAGTCCTTAAGGATGACCCATGGTAGTTTAATGATATGTCAATTCTAGGCATAGGGATTGCTTGAGAATTGGACCTTAATGCATGGTGATGTGATAGAGCCGAGCTCTAGAATGCATGTAAGGGTAGACTTGGAGTCTATGTATTGTATAGCT